GGAGAAAGATGACTGCCAAAATAGGTTCTGGCTTGTTAAACAGAGGCCAACAATACCCAACATAGATTCAAGAAGTGGCATCATTTTCATGAATGCGGATATGCTCTCAGAAGTCCAAAAGACAAACAGACCTCAATTATAGTCTCTGATATATTTACACGACTATGGCTTGTAGCAAAGATTACTCCGAGTAACTACTTTACATCGCAAAGTCCTGTTGCTTCATCACAGAAACCATCTCGGTCAAGCAGTTTCTGTGGTGGAGCACTTAAAAGGGGAGATGATGGGGAGCCATAAGCATTTCGTCGTTTGTTTCCACAACCTAAGCTTACTCTTGTGCTCACTCCTGTAACAGGATTTGTGCCACTGGCATACTTGCATAAAGCCTAAGCAATTTAATCAAACAGTATACGTCATATCAGTGTCACCTTAGGTAAAAATTATGCTCTGACAAAGCATTTCAATCACAACGGTAGATATTCCAAGCAAGGATGGGTCATGGATCCTGATTATGGGAGAGAGACAACTCAAACAGCAACATAAAGACACTAAAAAGGCCATATGAACAGAAGGATCTGTCGAAAAATTTACAACCTTATTTATCATTTGGTATTTTATCTATCCTTTTACAAAGATCCTATTATTTGAAAGGGTATAGCAAAAGAATTGATAAAAAAAGATCTTGTTTTTATTATAAGGTCACGATTGAGTCTGTGTCAGAATATTTTTGTCAATTGAGAACAATAAAAAGGGAAAGCGATCATGGAAGATGAAAACATGCGGGGATTGACCTTGGTTTGTCTTTGGAATGGAAGGGGAGGAGGGGATTGGAAATTCTTGAATTTGAGAGAATTAAATCATCCCCCAATTCAGATTAGAGGATCCATCCCTTTAATAGGACATCAATGGTCATACCTGCTTTTGGGTAAGGTCCAACACAGCATCACTAAAGTCAGCACCTTCGATGATGGCACCCCCAAGGTCACTCCGTGTGAGGACTGTTCTAAGGAGAATGGCATTAGTGAGATTGGCTTCGTTTAAAACCTGTAAATCAGAGGTAAGAAAATCATATATAAACCAAATTAAAAGGAAAAAATAATATCAAACATATTGATAAAATTAATCATCTTGATGCAGTTACCATGCGATCCATCAATGTATCACTTAAATCGGCCCCTGTGAAAAACATTTAAAAATTAGAGTCAGTCAAAAATTATACACAAGAAGCACAGGAAATTTTCTGCAAAGAAAATGAAGAGATACATGAGAATGATAAAGTAAAAGGTATACATGAGCACAAGAAATGTATGAAGTGAAGGAAACAAATGTGAAAATGTTTTAAAATTTCTTGTACATCAATCTTTGAATAAAGAAAATAAACGAGTTCTTTATGTCTTCTGCCGGAATTTATGGTTATATTTTTTAACTGAGTAAACACTCTTTTGGATGTGCAAGCATACAGGGCTTAACCATGACTTTGAACGGAAATCAGCCTTGGGTCCAATAGAATCTATTATGTAAAGGAATCAGATAATTTGAGCAAACAGTGGGTCTAACGGAGTCTATTAGTTGAAGTATCAGACTTTTTTATTTATCTCAACAGAGATAACTTAGAATTGCATTCAAAACATGCTGTGAAGAATTTATATTGCAATAAGCGTATACCTGAAAAATTTGCCTTGTATGCAACAGCTTTCTCAAGGTATGCACCATTGAAAGTTGAACCGCTAAAATCAGATTCTCTCATATCAGCAGCTGTGAAATTGGCTCTTCTGTATCAGTCATTCAGAATCATTATGAATAGAGGACTCCAAATTTATACATTATTAGATTCCATAAATTTCTATGAAGTGACAACTCAAATTAATTGAAGTAACACTTTTCTACTATGTTTAATCGCTAGTGTGTGTGTGTGCATAAAATAGTGAACTTCATAAAATTGCTAATGTTAATTCGAAATAAACATTGTAGCTATTTTCCCACTCGCCAGATCAGTACTTCTATATGGAAGCAATGCCTCCAGTAAAACATCAGCCCGAGGAACCAATGGCGCTGAAAAAAGCATAACAAAACCGACTAATCTTCGGTTTGGAGTGTCCACATCAGTAGAGTTTCTTTGTGTTTATTGACAACGTTGCATTAGATAAAGGAAAACTAAAGAGGTCGCGCTAACTCAAACATTCTGCATGTTATACGTAAAATTGAAACAACAAAAAATAACATTGGCCAAAGGAATAAGTAAAGATGAATGTCTACCACACCAAATATAACTGGAAAAAAGAAATCCTATTGACTCTCCATTCTATTTTCCACCTTTTCCCTTTTTTTATCTTTTATGATTACAAATTTGATAAAGCTAATGTAGGAAGGATAACAATAAAATTGCATCATGTTCATTTCTAATTTCTTTATTACGCATAGCCGATTGAAATAAAAAATTACCTGAAATTTTCATTCACATGCACTGCTTTCCTGCAAAACAATCAGCGAAGACAATTCACTTTCGTTTTTGCCTAAAACTTAGTCCGAAAGTGTTATTTATGAATCCGCAAAGATAAAATGGAATGAAATAAACCAACCTGAGATCTGCAGAGCCAAATTGTGCAGCCGATCCTATTCCAAATTCACCCCTCATTTCAGCCTCAAATTTGTTGAGATCAGCAAGGGCAGACATGTCAGAGCCGAAGGCAATGACGGCGGCCGCCAGCGTGGCCGAAACCACTTTCCCCCATTTCCTGAATTCGGCATTGGCAGGCGCTGTACTACAACAAACACTCTTTCTTCTTTCTTCAGAGTTAACTCTGTTTGAGTTCAATTGGCAGGAAATGGCAAAGGGCTTTGAATGAGAATCCGAAGTGAGGGAAGTTAAGCTTGAAGATACGAGAAGAGAATTAACGGAAAGTGGTGACAACGAATTGAGCGCCATCATGGTAAGCAGTGGTTGTCCACGAAAGGAACGAGGAAGGAGAAGCGATTTGAACGGATGTTGCAATTCAGTTGTTCACGGTGAAAGTGGAAGAATCATGGAGTAGTGGTAAGTAGAAGCACACGTATTCAAGCGTTATCTGCTTTCGAAACATGCCACGTAAATTATGGGATTTGCGACAAAACCTAAACTTTTATCTTGGTGATTAAGGTGTTTAGAGTACTCATTAGATGATATAAACTTCATTTTATATATATTTAAACAATTAAAACAGAATAAATGTTTATGATTAATAATAATTTATTTATTTTAATTTGGCTCCAATAAAACAGAGATGTAGAAAATCATATTTTATGATAATTTAAATGATAATACTTTAACGCTTATTTTAATAATGTACGGATAGGCAAGAACATTTTCTTTTATAATATTTTAACATGTGATTAGGTGAGTATAAAATTGTTTCATAACTAATCATAATCGATATGAACCAATTATGATGTATAAATGATGTTAAAATGTTATCAAAATATTATTATCAATAAATATACGTGCTGATTAATAATAATGTTTGAGTTTAAAGGGATATGATTAAGGATTCGTTTACTGTAGAAAGTGAAATGACTTATATATTACATTTTTTACTCCCTCGTCTAATATAAAAACTAAGATAAGAAACTGGTAGAAAATTTACCCAATTACTCATGCTTAATATTTTGGCAGTTATCTATTTTTCGGTTTCTTTTTTGTCATTTCTAGTAGCAAATTTTTTATTTTACTCGTGCATCTTCGTTTTACACTTGTCTTATTCTTTGGTATTTTTGTCATTTCCTTTTTCAAGTTTTGCTGACAATGTCCATATCTATCGCTTTCAATTTGAATTCAATACAAGAAAAATCAAAATTTCCACAATTAAATTCATGAGATAATATTTTTTTTCTATGCATTTTTCACGAACAAAAATTCGTGGATAATATATTCATAGGAGGCGTTTTCCATAAATTTTTAATTTTTTTTGTAATTTCCGACATTTTTTGCGAGAAAGAACATGACATTTCAGTGGATAATTTTTCCGAAATTTAGTTTTAGAAAACTTTTCCAATTCCCACGAATTTTGGATAATAAGTTTCCGTGTCCCTTTTATATTATTTTGTTGCCCTTTCATCTTTATTTTTAACACTAACATATATTATACATATTTATTAAGGAGGAGAATAGAGGAGAATAGAAAAGAGAATATCAAACTATAATATATATCATTCATGATGCATATGTATATATATATAAAGAGTTCAGAGAAACTCAATACACTTGATTAATGTTAATTAATCTAATATGTTGATTTGAAATTAAATAAAAGATTTTAATTATTATTGTTTTGAAAAGTAAATCCGTACTTTTTATATATAGAGTACTTTACATGTATGATATTATAGTAAGTATTAAAAGAAATCTCTCTTTGCATAACCTTTCACTTAAATAAAAGTTACTTTAAAATTGTTCGTGTTGTGTTTTTGTTAGTGATTATTGATTTCACCCCATCACATATATTTCCACTTTAGAACAAAAGACAGAAAACTAACAAATCTTTAAGATTTACTATTTTTTAATTAACTAAAAAAATCTAACTGTTTTTTTAACCATAATCATCATTTATCTACATTAAGGTAATTAAAAAGTACCATCTAATTGTAACGAGTATGAGTCATAAAATTTTTGTAGAAATAACTTTTATAAGAAAAATGATTAAATATGTTTTTTTATTTTTTAATAAAAATTAAAATTAGTTTTTTAAAAAATTTTAGTTTAATTTAATTTCTTAATTTTGGAAATGTATAAATTTAATTTTTTTTATGATAATATTTAAGTTATGTAAACTATTTAACATTTTTTCTTTAATATTATTTAAAAAATGCGCTTGAATCTTTAAATAAATTTAATAAAATTTAATTAAAAAACTAAATTTATATGTTTATAAAAAAACTAAATTAGTTTAAAATTTTGAAACAAAAAACTAATTTTAATTTTTACTAAAAATTAAAAAATAAAAACATATTTAATCATAATCAACAATATTTTTCATGAAAAGGAAACATAATATTTATTTCATTGTCATAACAATTTACAAATATCACTACTATTTTACAAAATCAAGCCTATTAAAAAAAGATTTGGACAAAATTGAGGCAGGAGACCTAAGTTCAATAACCCTAACCTTTAGGTTAGTAGAAGAGAAGGTTATTGAACAGCTTTGTCACGTAGCGAATTGTTCCTAATATTTTGACTTGTGAGTCCTTAGTCCCTTATATAGAATTACTTTGTTGTGGGTTGAAGGGGCGTATGAATGCAGAATTCATTTGCCAAACTTTAACTGAAGCAGTCACAGTGACTTCGGTAGCATTATTGAATAAAAACAATCTAGCAGCTCCATAGATTGCCTTCGTTGGATAAACTCGAGATGTCACGCATGTTCTTCCACCTTGAGCAAAACTTTCCACCACAGAATGGTCCACCTAATTTTCAGCATAAAAAATTCAACTTCATTAGTTCAGCTATCTCATCTTCACACAAAAATATATTAAACTTTGACCAAGAAAATCACAGCTTACCAAGATCCTCACTGACAGTTTTTCATCTTCTAGTACTGTAACAGAGCTTCCAAAGATTTTCTTACCAACATCAGTTGCTAGAGAAGACCTACAAAACATGATGTAACTTAATCAACACTGTATTTAATCACAACTTAACACATTCATTTTCTTAAGAGACAAACAATGCCATTACAAGCCTGGAAAAGAATATTAGTCCTATATACCTTAATTGATCAGAGCAAAAGGAAGTTTTAAGTTGTCCATCGTTTCCTTTAACCACGTAAAAGTATGTGGGAGTGTATTCAGAAAGATCATCATCAGCCAAAACTAGAAGACCAAATGGTCCTAAGGAACCACGTTCTGCTGCTCCACCACTGGTGCTACACTCGTACGCCTTATTGGATTGGCCAGTCATCTCCAAGGCTTTGTTATCTATCTCAAACTCAGCTACAATGTCCAACTGTTGCATAGGAAGATGCAATTGCGTGTCATTGAATTATACTAGATTTGTTACATTCAACTTTGTATTCTCCTAACTACTTATCAATCAATAAAATTAACATGATCCCAAACCTGTGCAGCTGTTCCAACTTCAAGTGGCACCACTGACCCTGGCTTCACCTTCAAATTTTCAAACTCGTTGCTTCCCAATCTCAAACTTTCCACCTCTGCTACAGGCCATTGAAGTAAGCTGCTACCAGTTTTCTTATCAAGTGTCACTGTTCTTGGAATACCCTATACAAAATAAATGCAATCAATGTTATTGCTAGCTTATACAGCAGTAGTTTAAAAGGAGAAATTATGATGGTCCGGTCAATCCATTTAAAAGGACACAATTGATAAACAAGAAAAATGGGTGAATAAATTTAACACACCTGAATAGATGCCCAACCTTTGGCTACGTCAGCAAATTCGCTATCAGACTCTCCAATCCAACTCCACAACACTCTACTTCCCTTACTCTGATCATAAAATGTCTTGGATGCATAAAATATACCGTAGTCATATCTGAGTCCAATACCAACATCGTTCTTCAAGTCATCTGGTGTGAACTTGGCATTCTTCTCATCGTAAGTCCCCACTGCATAGTAATCATGTCTATCATCATCCAAGCTAACCTTCACCACATGCTTCACATTCTCCCCATTGATTGAAGCATCCAAGCCATTTTCACCCTCACTGGATACTGGAAAGAAGTCAACACACTCCCACATGCCAGTGCCAGGCACGGCACGGAGCAGTCCCTCCACACGCTCGTAGGTCTTAAAGTCACTGGTATCATAAACCAAGGCTATGCCAGTTTTGTTAAGCTTTGAACCAATACTGATGCGCCACTTGCCTTCTGAGGTGAGCCAAGCTGTGGTGGGGTCACGAAAATCCTTGGTATCGATGCCTGGTGGAGGGAACAGAACTGGATTTGAAGGGTATTTGATCCAATCAACAAGGAGAGGATCAGAGGGATCTGCAGGGTATGCAAGGTTTTGGACCTGCACTGACTCGTTGGTGGAACCAGTGTATAGCATGATGACTTGACCATCGGGTAAGATGGTGGCAGAGCCTGTCCACACACCGTTTTGGTCATACCATTGATCAGCCACCATTGCCAGTGGAAGGTGAAGCCAGTGAATCAAGTCCCTTGATACAGCGTGCCCCCAAACTATGGTACCCCAAACTGCACCTTTCGGATTGTATTGGTAGAAGAAGTGATACCACCCTTTGTAGTACATAGGACCTGCCCAAATTGTAAGAACTGCGTCAAAAAGGTGGTCCAGGGAAAATTGTGAAGCCCTTTTTTGAACTTCAATAATTCCAACATTGTTGGAAAAATTATTTGTAATTCGGTTGGTTGTCTAACTTTCTAGAATTTGATATTAATATTGGATCAAGAAAGGGGAAGGGGCTTTTTATAGATTTACCATCTTACAAATAAATAAATATGTAAAATAAAATTTGTTTACTTGTAATTTAATATCAGCTAAAAATATAAGGCATTTCAACTAAGATTAAAACGATAGCTGTACTGCTTTGCCTTGTAATACAAACAAGCTGTTCAAAACCAGACTGCTGGACAGTACTATTATTAAGAACTGCGGTTCATCCATTTTGTTCAAGGTTTTGAAAAAATCTAACCCCTTGTGAGAAATTGGAAGTCTAAATATCGTTTACATATTGTGCAAAAAGTTACTAGATTTTGTGCACAGAAGAAGATCAACAGAATGTGACCAATGATCGTATAGAAAAAGCATATACATAATAAAATAATCTTAGAATTTTTGCCAAGTCACGGTAAAGAAATGGGACAAATTATTGGGCAACAAAAGAAAAGGGAGAAATTAATGAAAGTTCAAGAAAGTTTATACAACAAAATATACAACATTTTTTCTCATCTCTCCATTACACAACTCATTTTATGTTGTATTCTTTTATTTATTTATTTATCATGTCTATGAATTAATGCGAGTGAGGTAAAAACAATGGGAAAATGCAAGGGTGCTCTTACCATTAGGATCTGAAGCAGACAAACCAAGTTCCCCAAGCACAGCAAGCCGAAGCCACACCCACAGAGACACAAGAAAAAAGTTAGTATCCTTTACATTCAACACTAATATATTTTTTCAATTTCAATTGAAAGAATAATTTGGACAGAGTACTTTAGTTTCTTTTTGTATTAAATTTGTTGCATAGATTAAATCACAATCTTAATCAATAGTAATTTTACTTATAAAATACGCCGACTGAATCCTTTGCAAACAATATTTTGATTTTGACGGTCGTCTTCTCTAAAATTAATACATCTGGTTAATTGTAACAGTCAACAATGAAAATGAAAGGGTTATAAAATAAATTTCCCTAACAGTCTATTTTTTGTAGTTTGTAGTTTTTTCTTAAAAGATTAAAATGTCTTTTTCGTCAAATGTTATCATTATAACTAGTATAATCGTTNTTCTTGGAATACCCTATACAAAATAAATGCAATCAATGTTATTGCTAGCTTATACAGCAGTAGTTTAAAAGGAGAAATTATGATGGTCCGGTCAATCCATTTAAAAGGACACAATTGATAAACAAGAAAAATGGGTGAATAAATTTAACACACCTGAATGGATGCCCAACCTTTGGCTACGTCAGCAGATTCGCTATCAGACTCTCCAATCCAACTCCACAACACTCTCCTTCCCTTACTCTGATCATAAAATGTCTTGGATGCATAAAATATACCGTAGTCATATCTGAGTCCAATACCAACATCGTTCTTCAAGTCATCTGGTGTGAACTTGGCATTCTTCTCATCGTAAGTCCCCACTGCATAGTAATCATGTCTATCATCATCCAAGCTAACCTTCACCACATGCTTCACATTCTCCCCATTGATTGAAGCATCCAAGCCATTTTCACCCTCACTGGATACTGGAAAGAAGTCAACACACTCCCACATGCCAGTGCCAGGCACGGCACGGAGCAGTCCCTCCACACGCTCGTAGGTCTTAAAGTCACTGGTATCATAAACCAAGGCTATGCCAGTTTTGTTAAGCTTTGAACCAATACTGATGCGCCACTTGCCTTCTGAGGTGAGCCAAGCTGTGGTGGGGTCACGAAAATCCTTGGTATCGATGCCTGGTGGAGGGAACAGAACTGGATTTGAAGGGTATTTGATCCAATCAACAAGGAGAGGATCAGAGGGATCTGCAGGGTATGCAAGGTTTTGGACCTGCACTGACTCGTTGGTGGAACCAGTGTATAGCATGATGACTTGACCATCGGGTAAGATGGTGGCAGAGCCTGTCCACACACCGTTTTGGTCATACCATTGATCAGCCACCATTGCCAGTGGAAGGTGAAGCCAGTGAATCAAGTCCCTTGATACAGCGTGCCCCCAAACTATGGTACCCCAAACTGCACCTTTCGGATTGTATTGGTAGAAGAAGTGATACCACCCTTTGTAGTACATAGGACCTGCCCAAATTGTAAGAACTGCGTCAAAAAGGTGGTCCAGGGAAAATTGTGAAGCCCTTTTTTGAACTTCAATAATTCCAACATTGTTGGAAAAATTATTTGTATTTCGGTTGGTTGTCTAACTTTCTAGAATTTGATATTGATATTGGATCAAGAAAGGGGAAGGGGCTTTTTATAGATTTACCATCTTACAAATAAATAAATATGTAAAATAAAATTTGTTTACTTGTAATTTAATATCAGCTAAAAATATAAGGCATTTCAACTAAGATTAAAACGATAGCTGTACTGCTTTGCCTTGTAATACAAACAAGCTGTTCAAAACCAGACTGCTGGACAGTACTATTATTAAGAACTGCGGTTCATCCATTTTGTTCAAGGTTTTGAAAAAATCTAACCCCTTGTGAGAAATTGGAAGTCTAATTATCGTTTACATATTGTGCAAAAAGTTACTAGATTTTGTGCACAGAAGAAGATCAACAGAATGTGACCAATGATCGTATAGAAAAAGCATATACATAATAAAATAATCTTAGAATTTTTGCCAAGTCACGGTAAAGAAATGGGACAAATTATTGGGCAACAAAAGAAAAGGGAGAAATTAATGAAAGTTCAAGAAAGTTTATACAACAAAATATACAACATTTTTTCTTCATCTCTCCATTACACAACTCATTTTATGTTGTATTCTTTTATTTATTTATTTATCATGTCTATGAATTAATGCGAGTGAGGTAAAAACAATGGGAAAATGCAAGGGTGCTCTTACCATTAGGATCTGAAGCAGACAAACCAAGTTCCCCAAGCACAGCAAGCCGAAGCCACACCCACAGAGACACAAGAAAAAAGTTAGTATCCTTTACATTCAACACTAATATATTTTTTCAATTTCAATTGAAAGAATAATTTGGACAGAGTACTTTAGTTTCTTTTTGTATTAAATTTGTTGCATAGATTAAATCACAATCTTAATCAATAGTAATTTTACTTATAAAATACGCCGACTGAATCCTTTGCAAACAATATTTTGATTTTGACGGTCGTCTTCTCTAAAATTAATACATCTGGTTAATTGTAACAGTCAACAATGAAAATGAAAGGGTTATAAAATAAATTTCCCTAACAGTCTATTTTTTGTAGTTTGTAGTTTTTTCTTAAAAGATTAAAATGTCTTTTTCGTCAAATGTTATCATTATAACTAGTATAATCGTTAAACAAAAATAATAAAACGATTAATGCACGGTAAAAATGATCATTCAATCATAAATGGTTATACATAATAATTTTAAACTTTTTTACTAACACTCTGTTAAACTGTACCATAAAATAAAGTTTAAAATAAAAGGAAAGACAGAGCATGGAAATAAAAGGAAGTTACCGTTCATCCAATTCTTCTCAGGCTGGAAGTGATAAGCCGTTCGCTGCCATGACAGCATGCTATTGCTCCAAGGATAGGATTCTCCATTGCTGCTCTTCAACATCCAGCTGGACTTCTCCGACACCCCTGAAGAGACGCCACGTGAAAATGGTTTCAACATTGAGCTTGGTACCGTGTGAGGGCTGAATTCGAATTCATCGGGCGTTGTTGGTGTTAATGAAGCACGATCTCCGTCTCCAGATGAATGCGGGTAGTAGGCATTGAAGGTCACCAAGGACAGAAGCAGCAGGAGCAACCCAGATGAGATGAGAAGCACCTTTTTCGCCACGTGTTTTGGAGGCTCCGCCGGAGAATAGGATCCGTCGGGTATAGGAACGTAGGAACAAGGGAGTTCGGAATGAGAGGAGAGGGAGCGGGCCATTGGTGGGAATACTTTCGATGCTTGCTGGAAACCAAAGGAGCAGCCACACAAATTGTAAACTTAATCAGAAAATTTTGAGGTGCATTTTTTCACATATGACATGGCAATATTTATAAGAGTGTTTTTTGCCAGTGTGGACTTCAATACAGCCAAAACAGTTTTACTATTTTAACAAAATAATTGAGTTCACATCTCTGTCTCCCGCCTTTTTTTTCTATTTTATTTTCAATGTTAGTAAATTTTGTTTTAAATTTATAATTTTGTTTTTTAAAAAAGTTTATATTAATTGTTCATAGTCTCCACTTCCGAATCATCTAGAACAATTACACATAATGAAAATATTAATTGACCTAATAACAATAACAATGCTCTTACCCAAATAGTAATAAAGCCCCAGATGGTTCTTCAATCTCTTTCAACTGTTGTATACGAAGTTGAGCATAAGATGGAAATTATGATATGAATAATGTTTCAATCCTTCTTTTATATACTCTGTATAAATCTCCATGGTTTTATGCTTCAATCTTTTATCTTTATTAAGCTATTCCTTATTGATAAATGATAAAGATATATATATTAAAGATCACGAACAAAGTTATTAAGCTTTGTTTTTTTAAATAAAATAATTCATTATTTATTTAAATATTATTGGATAATGATTAATAATTAGATACTTTATAAGTATTTCATCCGTTGGTACAAACAATATCATCATATCGTTATATAGAACTACAAATACATATAATTTTTTTATCCTTAGAAACGAAATACAGAAAAAGATACAAGAATTGAAAAAAAAAAGTAACTTTAAATATAATTTGTTTCTAAAACGTTAACTTAAAAAATAAAGTATAAGAGTGAAGATTAAATTTTAAAAATTTAAAACTATTAGGTTTGAAAAATAAAGTACGAGATAGAACAATATATTGTAAAAACAATATTTTTAGAGTATTTTATTTTATTAATATATATTGTTTGTCTGATTTAATATTAAATACAAGCGATGCAAATAATTAAAGTTATTTTCGCTAAATGGAATATCAAAATACGTATCATTTGTCCACTAATATTTTTATTCTTCCATATTCTCAACCCTTATTGTTAAAACGTCTCCAATATAGATATTCATATATGACTGCATAATATAATTTGGCAATTTTTAGCTAGTTTTGAAAATTATTTACTTTTAAATTGCTCACTGTTGATAATTATGGTATGTCTTATTTATCGTATTTATATTTTTCTGATATAATAATTATTTTGATGAACTCCATATATTGTAATTTAAAATGTGTTACTTATTTTATAACAATAATTTGAATTGAGGAATTAATATATATGATAATAAAATTGAATGAATATTAATATGTTTCATTTTATATTAATTAACATATAGGTGATAGACAATTTATACAACGATTGATACAATATTTTCTAATATTATAATTATAAAGACAAAGATAAATACTTTATGTAATATGTGAGTATCAGTGAATTAACAATTTATTTGTTGTATTTCAATGAGAGTATTATGAGATGTTTACTTTGATTAATATATTAATTAGAATTAAAGAATGTAAATACAATATTATTATATTATTTTTACTACTTTAAATATAATCAATATAAAAAATATTTGGAGTAAGGAGTTTTTTATATGTTAGTAAGATGAAATAACAAAATACATAATGTATGTATATAATATTGTAATTTTTTTTATTGATTTACTAACAGAAAATAACAATTACTGTTCAATTTTTATTATGATTTTCTTAATAAGAAAGCTAGCAAAGATGATTATATTTTAGAAAAATATATATATATTACAATTATGTTGTTACCAACAGAAAATAATAATTATTATTATCTCAGTATTTTTTTGTGATTATGAAAAAAAAGGTCAATTTCTTCAAAATAATATAAAAGTAACTTGAAAGTTATATTTTTATGTACACAATCATGATTTCTCTTCTACAAAGTATAAGTATGTCAAAATATGTTAAGAAATTGTTTTCAATTTTGTTTCATACATTAAAAAAGTTGATAACAAATGTTAGAATCCAGGTGGACAGACATAATATTTTCACATCGGACAATCTTTAATCTTTAAATATGAAAAAAAAATATTCTCAACTTGATTTTGTAAAAGCAAAAAATAAATAAAATAACATATATATGTTAATAAAAATATAAACGTAAAAACAATTTATCTTTTTGAAAAAAAAGATTTTGGCAATCGTTATTTTTTGAACTACATTCTAGAAGGGAGTATTACTCACTCTAACACTCATACGTACTAGTAATATTATACAAACTACATTATGTGATTATAGTTAATTCAAAATATATTTTACTAGAAAAACACACGCACGTAGCGTAAGTGTGTTTATTTTTTTATAATAATAAACATTAATAAAATTATTATTATTTTATTATTATAATTATAAAATTAGATATAAATAATTTTTATAATTAAGTTTAAAAAACAGTCAAATTTAAAGAAACGATAATTTACATGATAAAAATCGAATAAAATAATTATTTTAATTTTAAAAATATTTAAAAGGTAAAATTGAAAAATAGATGAAGAGATAAAAAGTTACTCTCTCTTTACATATATAAGTGTAGATAAATAAGAGTATAAAATATTTTAGTAAAAGAATAAAATATATTTACAATATTAACTAAACAGTTATTTGTTTATAAAAAAAATTATCTGTTTAATGAAGTTCATAATTTGTAGATAAAAAATAGAGTTTTTTTTAACGTATTATTTTTTGGCCGGACTATTTTTTTTTCAGTAATAAACATAAACATTATTATAAAATATTGTACTTTATTTGTATACCAACATTATTGATTAATGTAAAAGAAATCAACATTATTGATAATTAAATAACAAAATATCTGTAGAATGCCCAAATATATAAACCACGTCATTGAATTTAAGAACGTTAAATCAAAGACGGACAGTAACGCCAATAATGTTTCCCTCCTTAATAAAAGCCGTCTTTTTATTTAGTGACACGGTGGCGTAGTATAAAAGAATTATTAAAATTTTTAATACCAGAGTTTATTTATCGGATAAATGTGTATATGTTAAATTTACTTTGAATTGATGTAAAATTTTTAACACATCCATTTATATTAAAACATATAAATGTTAAGTATTTTAATTCATGATTCTTATATTTTTAAATTTTAAGATAAAATTGAAATTTGTTTTTTTACTATTTTAATACAGTCTGATCTGTTTACAAAATCTAGATGAGAAAAGAAAATTTACATCATCAAATTAATTATTTGATTGAGTATAACATACCAGTCTGAATATTTCCAAGAAGCATGGGCGCCACCTCAGAAAACTTGGTAGATGACATGATCAGGTTTATAATTATTGGTAATAATTGTCATCCAGTTTCACTAAAGAATCATAAGAATGGGTAATCATGCTTATTTTATTGTGTATGATTTCAAATCCAAGTACAACATTCAGCATCTACCATGCAATCAGCTTCCCCCATATGATTATTGTTGCCGAGTCAGATGGAGGTTGCCCTGTTGCTCATCTTCGCAGTCACTTTTCAACTGCATACAATAATGCATTTGCCATCACAGATTGCCGTGGCTTTTGTATTTACCACACATAAACAACGTTTTGGCACACACTCATTGGCTTTTTTTTCAATCTTTATAGGTGACGCTGTAAGGGACTTTCTCTTTTTCTGTTTCCATTTTTGTGAGGCTGGTAATGCTTCGGCCCCACCTACCCTCAATAATGTTTCATTATTGACAACAAAACAAAACTAATCAAACAGAACTGCCAAACACACCCATAAACCCTTCGCTTATGTCATTCTCCACCATCATCATGGGGAGTTTGTTTGTGTTCTTTTTCTTAAGCTTGAATTTTTAATATTGTTATTGTTTTTTTATTGGATTTAACGAGCAGTCTTCAAAGTGGTTAACTAANATCATCATGGGGAGTTTGTTTGTGTTCTTTTTCTTAAGCTTGAATTTTTAATATTGTTATTGTTTTTTTATTGGATTTAACGAGCAGTCTTCAAAGTGGTTAACTAAGTTGTTCACAGTGCAAAAACTCTTTAACATTTTAAGTCAATAAAAGATTTTCAATAAATATTTATAAGTAAAAATAATTATAAATAAGATGAATGTAGTTCATGTTATTACCTATAACTACACAAAGTACAATTGTATTTACTCATAAATATTCATTCAAAATCTCTTATTGATCTGAAAGTTAAAAATTTGGAAATAGATTTTTTTCTCGTTGTAATTCGTAGTTTCATCACATCAACAGTGATATGAAGAATCTTAACGAGGCCTTGCTTTAACTTTTCTCTAATAAAGTCACAGTCAATTTATGTGTTTGGTGCACTCATGAAATAGTTGATTAGATACAATTTAGATTGCATATCGAAATATTGTAATATAACAGAGAAGGTTGTTGGTGTTGAATTTGGAGGTCTTGCATAAGGTGATTAGACGCATATGCCAAATGTTGCATTTAACAACACCATTGCAAGCATGAAAGTAATTCTTGATGACATATAAACTAGATTTTATCCTACTTATACCAATATTTTGTGTATTTCTTATACAGGATAAAACACTCAATAAGAGAATATATTATAGTGCAATGTAAACAAGAAATTAACTTAGAAAAAGAAATAAAATTATATGAAAAATTGGAAATGATATCAAGATTATTCACAGTAGTAGACTTATTATAAGGCTTATACAACATATATAATAAGTACATTTTAAGTCTAACTCAACCTTATAAAATTAACTTATGAAATAATATTTGCTCTCAATTATATACTTTAAAATGACTTTACAAGGAACTAAACATGAATTAGTGGTCTAATAATGATTTTAACAAAATGAAACAATATATTCAACAAATATCAAATCTTGATATGATAATTTCTAACTAAACTCTAACGTGATATTAAGAAGTAAATTTTAAATTGAATTTAATTGTACGAAATCGGTTTGTAAAATATATTTCCATTCGATTATTTTATATATATATATAATATAAATTATTTG